TTTCTTTATTTAATTATTCTTATTTAAATATAAAAAAATATAATATGAATTTTATAAATTGTTTTCTATTTAAATTAGATTGAAAGGAACGTCATCAAATAAGCTCAAAATTTAAATATCATTTTTAAGTTTATTTTAGGCTATTAACTGAAATAACTTATTTACATCATTTAGATTTATCCTCATCAAAAAAATAGGTGAATTTTATAAAACCAATAAAGATATAAAGAAATGCCTTACATCAGATTAAATTTTAAAAATATGTTTACAAATAATGACTGCAAGTGTTAAATTTAGTTTATGTATTTGTTCAATTTACATATATAGCAACATAATAATATCAAATATTTATATTATTTTTACTATCAAGCATTTTTATAAAATGATATTCTTTATTTAATTAAAGAAAGCATGAAAATATCTATCAGAAAATTTAATAAAATTCAAAATCAATCCATATTTTACTTATATTAAATCAAATTGAATATTTTTTTTTCCTTAACTTTCACTCAAAAAAATTATTAAAAATTTGAGTTTGCTATCGAATAATATAATAATAGTACTTATTTAGAATAGTAAATTACTTGGAGATAAACGCTGCTTTTTATGAATTATTTAGACATTTAAATTAAGTAAATTTATAGCCATAATTATGTTCGAATCAAAGTTTTTTTTGATTTAATTAAAAACTTTCTTACATATTTTTCAAATAATTATTTGTATTTGAGGATAATAATTTGAGTAGGTAGAGTATAACTATTTTTAAAATGAATAATATTTTACATAGATACTAAAATGTTTTTAAAATAAATATTTCATAATCAGGTTTGATAATTAGAAAACTAAAGATTTTTAATTTTATAAATGATGATATTAATAACAATAATATTAATATAAAATAGCTTTTTCTTAGAACTTAGATAGTAATTTATTAAAAAATGATGAATAAAATAAATAAATAATCAGTAATTGAAGGTGTTCAATTTTCAAAAATTTATCTTTTTTAATATTAATTTTGTTTTTTTAGAAAAAGAAGTATTAAAATTGATGGTCTATTTATCATTTGACCATAAAATATTAGCTTACTTTTTTTATATCATTCAAGCTAAATAATTATATAATTTTAATTAATTTTTAGGTAAAACCTTTATAGAATTTTTTTATTCTTACAGTCAAAACTAAAATTAATTAATCTTTTGAAAACAACTTTTAAATTTTAACTCTTAATTTTTCTTTTATTTATAAATACTTTAAGAAACTATCACGAATACGAATATTGTATTTTCTATGTCTTTTGATTTTATTAGTATGAATATTTTATTTATATAAATTTTACGTTTATGGATGTAATATAAAGGATTAACATTCTAATTTTAATGCAAAATTAGTTAAGTGATTGTTTCTATTTATTAGTTCACTATAAAATGTTCAAATACTTTATTAGATTAAAATAGTACAGGTGATAGCAAAAATCAATCAAATAGATAGATATAAAGGAAATACTTATTTTAATAATTGATACCAAGTGATTTGTTTGTATAAACAATAATTTAGAAATTATTAATTAATTAGCAAAAATATTTAAGTAGTAAAGCTACTAAACCATGAAACTGTGCTGTGTTATATTAAATTTTTCTCTTGCTTTGTAATTACTGAGAGCTTCGACATATTTTGAGATATGTGTGAATACCAAAAAATCGCTTTGTCCTGACAATGATGACAATTGCATCCATTAAGAATCACTTCTTTATGATTGTTCAATAAAGTGTATTTCTTAATATATTTCTAATTCCGATTAGATTGGGTGTTTCTAATAAAAATGTGCTCATGAAGCTACTCTCTAGACAACTTTCGATTATTAAAGGCTCATTTCATATTGTGCCATGAAAGAGGACTTTAAAAATAAGTCAAACTAATTTAAAAATCTTTATATTTGCTAATATGCGCAAATATCACCTTGCGATAATAAAAATTCTACTTGTGTTAATATGATTACTGATATAAAAAGTTGCTTTAAAAGTTGCTTAGATAATGACAATACATCTAATTCCTATGATTGTGTATAAAAAAATTGTACATCAAATGAAAAAATTATTTAAGGTTATGTTGATCAAATATTATAATGCTCAATCTCTACTATTTTGTAGATAATTACAAAATAATTATTTTTTGTTTATATGTTTATTTATTTATTTTAATGAAGCCATTTTTTGAATTTAATATTTTCAAAAAAAAATTTTAAATTATTTATAATATCTAATTTAAATTATTTATAATATCTATTTTAAATTATTTATAATATCCATTTTAAATCGATTATACTTTATTGATTTTTAAAATAGATATTTATTTTTACATCAGTAAGATCTCTAATATCTATTAAACTTTTTAATCTTTTAATTTATAATTTAATTTTCATTAAAAAAATATTTAAGACAGTAATTAATTCTCCTAAAATATTAATAAAATATGTTAGCACATTTTAAATATATAAAAAGCTAAATTTTAATTTAAACTAAAAAAGAATTCATTAATAATGATACTTAATTAATGCTAATAAAGTTGAATTAACTTTTTGAAATTTTTAAGTATTTTTGAGATTTCTTTAAACTTTCTTCATTGAGTCTGATTTGTTATCAATACAATAGGAACACTTTATGCGATAATAACAGAAATGCATATTAAAAAGATTTATGTATTTTTCACAACTTTTTATGAAATGCAAAATCCTTATTTTTAATCAAAAATATTTTTAAAAATATTAAAAAAATATATTCACCAAACAACTAAATTAAAATAAAATTTTTATAATTTTATTAATATGAGTGGCATATATATTAAATTAAACTCACAATTTGTTTCAATAATTAAGGTAAAAATGAAAGAAATATTATATAAAATATTTAAGATTTGTTTTAGAATAGATTTATTATTTATACCGAAATTATATGTATTAAAAAAGTTGCCTTAATGTTTATTATTTCATAAAATTATAAATAATATTTATTTTCTATTTTAAGCAAGTCATACCAACTAAATTTAAATTTGTTCAAAAAAGAAACTTGAAGATAAAATAAATGTCTATAAAGTAGCTTTTTATTTGAATTAGATAAATATTATTATGAAATGTAATATAAAATAAATGGAAATGATTTTTTAACAACTTAGTTTTTTTATTAAAAGTTAAAAAAAAATATTATGATCTTCAATAATTGTTTTCTATTTAAATTAGATTGAAAAAACATCGTCAAATATAGCTCAAAATTTAAATATTTTTTTTTTAAATTTGTTTTAGTAAATTTTTAAGCTATTAATAAATTATTCAAGCTATAAATTGAAAAAAGCTATTTACATCATTTAAATTTTTCCTCTTTAAAAAAATAAGTGAATTTTATAAAACAAATAAAGATATAAAATTATTTGTTCAATTTATATATTAATAGCATAATTTTATCAAATATTTATATTACTTTTACTATCAAATATTTTTATTAAATGATAAACATGAAAGTATCAGAAAATTTAATAAAATTCAAAATCAATACATATTTTACTAATATTAAATTAAATTGAATACATTTTTTTTATTTAAACATCCATTCAAAAAAATTAGTAAAAATGTGACTTTGTTCTTAAATAATATAATAATATTACTTATTTAAATAGAAAATAACATGAAGAAATAAACGCTGTTTTTTATGAATTATTTTGACTTTTAAATTAAGATAATTTATATCCTTAATTATGTTCGAATCATTTTTTTTTTTTGATTTAATTAAAACTTTCTTACATTTTCTTTAAATAATTATTTGTATTTGAGGATAATAATTAGAGTAGATAGAGTATAATTATTTTTAAAATTACATTAATATTTTACACAAATACTAAAATGTTTTAAAAAAATATATAAGAATTTGGTTTTGAAAATCAGAAAACTAGAAATTTTTAATTTTATAAATGATGATGATAATAATAACAATAATTTTTGTATAAAATATCTTTTCTTTAGAACTTAGTTTATAATTTATTAAAAAATTATGAATAAAATTAATAAATAATCAGTAATTGAAGGTGTTCATTTTTCAAAAATTTATCTTTTTTAATAATTGTTTTGTTTTTTAAAGAAAGAAGTAATAAAATCGATGGTCTATTTATCATTTGACCATAAAAAATTAGATTACTCTTTTTATATCATCCAAGCTAAATAATCTAAAAATTTTAATTTATTTTAGGTAAAACTTTTTTTGAATTTTTTTATTCTTACAGTCAAAACTAAAATTAATTAATCTTTGAAAAATCTTTTAAATTTTAATTCTTAATTTTTCTTTATGTTTAAATACTTCAAGAAACCATCAAGAATATGAGTATTTTATTTTCTATGTCTTTTGATTTTATTAGTATGAATATTTAATTTATATAGATTTAACATTTATGAATCTAATAAAAAAGAGTTACATCATAATTTTAATGTAAAATTAATTAAGAGTATTTATTACTATTTACTAGTTCACTATAAAATGCTCAAATACTTTACCAGATTAAATTGATAAAAATAATCAATCAAATAGTTAGGATATATTACTTTTAATAATTGATACCAAGTGATTAATTTGTATTAACAATAATTTAGAAATTATTAATAAATTAACAAAAATAATTAAGTAGCAAATGTACTAAGTGATGAAACTACACTGTGTTTTATTAAATTGTTTTCTTGCTTTGTATTTAGTGAGAGCTTCAACACATTTTGAGATATTTGCGGATACCAAAAGATCGCTTTGTCCTGATAACGATAAAAATTGCATCCATTAAGAATAACTTATTTATGAGTGTTCAATATAGTGTATTTCTTAATATAGTTCTAATTCTGATTAGGTTGGGTGCTTCTAATAAAAATGTGCTCATGAAGCTACTCTCTAAGCAACTTTTAATTATTAAAGGCTTATTTAATATTGTTCAATGAAAGAGGATTTTAAAAATAAGTCAAACTAATTTAAAAATCTTTATATTTGCTAATATGGGCAAATATCACCTTGCGATAATAAAAATTCTACTTGTGTTAATATGATTACTGATATAAAAAGTTGCTTTAAAAGCTGCTTAGATAATGACAATACATCTAATTCCTATCATTGTGTATAAAAAAACTGTACATCAAAAGATAAAGTTATTTAAGGTTATGTTGATCAAATATTATAATGCTCAATCACTTCTATTTTGTAGATAATTATAAAATAAATATTTTTTGTTTATATGTTTATTTATTTATTTTAATGAAACCATTTTTTGAATTTAATTTTTTCAAATAAAAATTTCAAATTATTTATAAAATCTAATTTAATTGATTAAAATAGGTACTTTGTTTTATTGATTTTTAATAAAGATATTTATTTTTACATCAGTAGGTAGGATGTCTAATATCAAATACACTTTTAATTATCTAATTTATAATTTAATTTTTATTAAATAAATATTTAAGACAGTAGAAACTATTAATAGAATACGTTAAAAAATAATTTAGATAATATTTTGAGTAATTAACTATATAAAAAATATTTATTATTAAATATAAATTAATAACTAATTTAATATAAAAATTTTATAATTTTAATTATATGAATTGTTTATGCATTTAATTAACACACAATTGATTTTAACCCTATTAAGACATAATAAAAAAAGTATACCAAACTACAATAATCTATGTAGATTTGATTTGAAAAAAATATTGTTTTATTGCCAAAGTTATTTATGTATTATCCAGAATTATTTATGTCTAGGTTTTTTTATTTCATAAAAAATTTAGTAATATTTAATATTTACATTTAACTACTCATACCCACTAATTTCATATTTTAATTTATTCATAGCAATTAATATAAAGATAAATTTGATATTTGTTTAATTGAAAAGTATTTTGTGTTCCTTATATAAAAATTTTTTTATTTTTTGTGAATTTAATAGATGAGGATAGATTTAAGAAAGATTAGAAAATATTTGGATGGATTAATAAAAAAAAATAAGATTCAAAATTATTTTCAATTAATTATATTATTACTAATTTAAGTAGAAAAAAATTATCAAAAATAGATTACCTTTTAAATCTGATTTTTAAGCATGTATTTTAAGCATTAGAATTATAAAATAGTTTAAAATATTTGATGAGATAAAAATGAGATAACTTATTGATAATATTTAAATTTATTTGAATCAAAAATAGATGAATTAATTTTTTTTATTACAAAATTATAATACTATAAATTTTCATATATTAAGACAAGCAAATCCACTTAAGACCAAACTTAGTAATTTAAAAAAAAATGTAAGAAATAGCAGGATATAAAAAGAGTTTTTGAAAAAGTAAAATTTAATCCTTTACATTAAATAATTTATGTATTAATTTATTTAATATAAATGCTATTTTTGCTGTGATATATTTTATTATCAGATTATTTTATAAAAAATGAAAGATACTTTAGTATTTAACTAAATCCTCTCTTCAAAATAGTAAAATAAATTTTGTTTAAATTATTATAAGCAATAAAAGATTGACAATTTTTTCTTAAGCATCACTTCAAAAAAATTATTAAAAATTGTATTTGTAATTAAAAAATGTAATAAAAGTACTTAACAAAAAATAGTAAACATCTATCAGAAAGTTTTCTTTTTAATTATTTAGACTTTTTTATTTTAAAAATTTATAGTCTTATTATTTTTTGTTACATATCAAACCTTTTCTTGATTAAATTAAAAATTTTCTAACACTATCTTCAAATATATATAATTCATATATTTTATTCGATATTTTTGAAATGTAACATTATCATTTTATATAATATTTTAAATAGCTATCTTGGATTTATTTAAAAAATATTTAGTAATTTGATTAAATTAAATACTCAAAATTTTTAATAATACTAAAGATAATAATTATTATTTATTATTATTGTCGTAAATTCTATTAATTTAGCTTTATCTTATAAAATTAAGATTGCAAATAATTAAAATATTAGTAAAATAAATAAATAATATTATCATTTAATGCTTTGAATTAAGGAAGTTAATTGTTTTGAATATTTGTTTTAGAGAAAGAAGCTTAAAAATCCTAGACCTATTTATTATTTGCCTAAAGAAAGTAGATTAATTTTTCTATGTTGTTTAAGCTAAACAATAAAATAATACTAATCAATTCTAAGATAAAGTCTTTAAATAATGTTTGTATTTTCACAATCAAAGTTAAATAAATTAATATTTTAAACGGCATTTAAATTTCATCTCTCATTTTTGTTTTGATGAAAAAATACCAAAAGGAATGATAATATATACAAAGAGGTAAGCTTATTTTATCTTTTGCTTTTATTAAAATATATGTTTTACTAATATTGATTTTAAATTTATAAATATAATAAAAAAAGATTAACTTTATGTTTGTAATGTAAATTAAAAAATTTTTACCAATAATTTCTAGTCATTAGCTTTCTCTAAAAAATATAAATATTAGCCAGCTCAAAAGACTACAGATATTAATAGTAAATTATCAAAAAGATAGGGTGTACTTATTTTAACAATTTATACTGAGTGATTGTTTGTATAAACAATATTTTAGAAATTATTAAAAAATTGCAATTATTTTTAAGAAGAATAATTATTTAACCATGAAGCTGAACAGTATTATGTTAAACGGTCTTTTAATTTAGTATATAGTTAGAGCTACGACATAATTTGAAACATGCATGAGTACCAAGCGAGCAATTTGTCCTAAAAAGGATAAAAATTGCATTAATTAATCAAATCTTCTTATTGAATGCGCAAAAAAGTGTATTTCTTAATAAATTACTAACTCAGATTAGGCTTGGTGCTTCTAATAAAATTGTTCTCATGAAGCTACTCTCCCATCAACTTTTAATTTTTAAATGAAAATGTCTTACTGCTCATTGAAAGAGGATTTTAAATTAAAGTCAAGATAATTTAAAAAACTATAAATGTGCTAAAATGTTTTAATTTCACCTTGTAATAAATAAAATTCTACTTGTGTTAATATGATTACAGATATTAAAATTTGCTTTAAAAACTGCTTAGATTAGGACGACACTTCTAATCCCTATAATTGTATTTAAAAAAGCTGTAAATCAAATGAAAAAACTATTTAAGATTATGTTGATCAAATATTATAATGCTCAATCTCTACTATTTTATAGATAGTAAAAAAATTATTTTTTGTTTATGCATTTATATACTTGCTTTAATGAGTCAATTTTTTGGATTTTATTAAAAACAAAATTATTCTAAATAATTATTACGAATTACATAATAAGTATATTAAAATATGTGCTATTTAATATATTTATTAGTGTTTGCTTTATAATAAATAAAACTTTTAATTATAATTTATACACATTTTTTTCATCTACAAATTGATAATTTAATTTTTATTAAAAAAATATTTTAGATAATTATTTTGCCTAGAGTATAACTCATTCAATAGGGGAAGTTTTAATAAAATATTTAATCAAAAATATCCAATTTTCGACCTACCTCGGTTGACGTAGGTGGGTCTTATCGAGGGAATACGGTATATACGTAAATAAAATATGCTTGCAAAAAAAAAACTAATGTGATTAGAGAATAATTAGAGATATTATAAATATTAATTTTATTAATTACAGAGCAAAAACAGAAAAATCTACTTATTAATATTATTTTTATAAAATTTAAGAACATTAATTAATTAATTACTAGAATTTTTCAAATATGACTAACTGGTCATATTTAATTCCTACTATATTTTTAAGTATATGTTTTAAATACAAATATTAAGATTAAATAATTAATGCTAAATTAATTTTTATGTGATATCTCTTCATAAAACCAAATTTATAAATTAATATTTGATAATTAATTATTATATTTTATTTGTTATTTTTATCCATTTATAATTAATTAAATTCCATAAATTGCTTGCTTGATATTCAATATTTTTGAAAAGAAAAATAAATGATATAATAGATTAAATATTACAAAAAATTAGAAGAAGTAATTTTTAATTTTTTTATTAATATCCTTTAAATTTATATAAATTAATAAAAAAAGTTTTTAAGCTCATCACTTTTATCTCATTAGTCTCTCCATATTAGTCTAAAGTATATTCTTTTTACAAATATTTTTATTATTATTAATATTTTTTATATATTTAACTTTCTATTTATTAAAATAAATAATTATTGTTTTAGAAATTATCATCATTATCCATTGATTTTTATTAAAACAAAATTTTTTTAGCTATTTTAACTTAATTTTCAATTCAATTCAATTTTAAATTATTTATTATTCATTTTTTATTATTTGATATTTTTTCTTCATTTTTTGCTATTCAGACTTACACTTAATAAAAGCAGTTTATTAGTTTTGGAATGTTATATTTTTAATTATAAAAATTAATTTAAAGCATTAAAACTCTTTTAATTTATTTGATTTATTGCTAATCCAGGTATTGAAATTTGAATGCTAAGTAGCCTTCTTGCTTTTTTTATTTTAATTAGTCAGAATTTATCTGACAGATCTACCTGTGATTTTATTAAAAAGAAAGGCCTTTTAATTAATAAAACGTGTAAAATTGAAAAATGGTTAACAATATTATTGAGTTCGCATTGCCAATATCCTTTATATAAGAGTTTCGCAAAAAATCAGATTAAATTTTTTTTTGATATTATTTATATATTATTATAGAACAAAATTAGCTATATAAGAATATGTCTTTTTTGGCTTTCGGAAACTGCTCTAAGTGGCAAAATTTTCCTCTTTAAAAATACTTAAAATTTTTTCTTCATTTTTTCCTTCTAATTAACTATTTAATGATATATATTTTTTTCAATATTTAAAAAGTTCCAATTAAATTGGTGATGAAGGTGCATCAGGCTTAGGTTGTACTTTAGCAAAGTGCATTAATCTCTCAAATTTGACACTTATCCTTCCGTAAAAATAGTTTATTTGTTTTGGATTGTGATATTTTTAATTATAAAAACTAATTTAATACAATAAAGCTATTTTTTCTTTTTTCTTTTTATTGTGCTTGCTTTTTTTTTGTTCTTTCTTTTTTAATTTAACTCATCATTTTATTTTCAACGTTGGCTTTTATTATTAATTAATTAATCTTATTATTTCATATTTTTTCTTCATTTTTTCCTTCTAATTAACTATTTAATCATATATTTTTTCTTCAATTTTTAAAAAGTTATAATTAAATTTTTGCAATGGGTGCATCAGGCTTAGGTTGTTCTTTAGCAAAGTGCATTAATCTCTCAAATTTGACACTTGATCTTAAGTAAAACAGTTTATTTGTTTTGGATTGTGATATTTTTAACTATAAAAACTAATTTAAAACAATAAAGCTCTTTTTTCTTTTTTCTTTTTATTGTGCTTGCTTTTTTTTGTTCTTTCATTTTTAATTTTACTCATCATTTTATTTTCAACCTTTGCTTTTATTATTAATTAATCTTATTATTCATATTTTTTCTTCATTTTTTCCTTCTAATTAACTATTTAATCATATATTTTTTATTCAATATTTAAAAAGTTTGAATAAAATTGGTGCAATGGGTGCATCAGGCTTAGGTTGTTCTTTAGCAAAGTGCATTAATCTCTCAAATTTGACACTTTCGCTTGGGTAAAAATAGTTGATTTGTTTTGGATTGTGATATTTTTAATTATAAAAACCAATTTAAAACAATAAAGCTCTTTTTTCTTTTTACTTTTTATTGTGCTTGCTTTTTTTTTGTTCTTTCTTTTTTAATTTAACTGATCATTTTATTTTCAACTTTTGCTTTTATTATTAATTAATTAATTATTATCTCATATTTTTTCTTCATTTTTTCCTTCTAATTAACTATTTAATCATATATTTTTTATTCAATATTTAAAAAGTGGCAATTAAATTGGTGCAATGGGTGCATCAGGCTTAGGTTCTGGTTTAGAAAATTGTAATAATCTCTCAAATTTGACACTTAATCTTTAGTAAAAACAGTTTATTTGTTTTGGATTGTGATATTTTTAATTATAAAAACTAATTTAATACAATAAAGCTAATTTTTCTTTTTATTATGCTTGCTTTTTTCTTTTCCTTCTTTGTTAATTTAACTGATCATTTAATTTTCAACTTTTGCTTTTATTATTAATTAATCTTATTATTTCATATTTTTTCTTCATTTTTTCCTTCAAATTAACTATTTAATCATATATTTTTTATTCAATATTTAAAAAGTCGCAATGAAATTGGTGACAAAGGTGCATCAGGCTTAGGTTCTGCTTTAGCAAAATGCATTAATCTCTAAAATTTGACACTTGATCTTAAGTAAAATAGTTGATTTGTTTTGGATTGTGATATTTTTAATTATAAAAACCAATTTAAAACAATAAAGCTCTTTTTTCTTTTTTCTTTTTATTGTGCTTGCTTTTTTTTTGTTCTTTCTTTGTTAATTTAACTCACCATTTTATTTACAACTTTTGCTTTTATTATTAATTAATTAAACTTATTATTTCATATTTTTTCTTCATTTTTTCTTTCTAATTAACTATTGAATCATATATTTTTTATTCAATATTTAAAAAGTGGCAATTAAATTGGTGACGAAGGTGCATCAGGCTTAGGTTTTGGTTTAGCAAAGTGCATTAATCTCTCAAATTTGACAATTGATCTTAAGTAAAACAGTTTATTTGTTTTGAATTGTGATATTTTTAATTATAAAAACTAATTTAAAACAATAAAGCTCTTTTTTCTTTTTCTGTTTATTGTGCTTGCTTTTATTTGTTCTTTCTTTGTTAATTTAACTCACCATTTTATTTTCAACTTTTGCTTTTATTATTAATTAATTAAACTTATTATTTCATATTTTTTCTTCATTTTTTCCTTCTAATTAACTATTTAATCATATATTTTTTATTCAATATTTAAAAAGTGGCAATTAAATTGGTGACAAAGGTGCATCAGTCTTAGGTTGTTCTTTATCAAATTGCATTAATCTCTTAAATTTGACACTTTCGCTTGGGTAAAAATAGTTGATTTGTTTTGGATTGTGATATTTTTAATTATAAAAGCCAATTTAAAACAATAAAGCTCTTTTTTCTTTTTCTGTTTATTGTGCTTGCTTTTTTTTTGTTCTTTCATTGTTAATTTAACTTATTATTTTATTTTCAACTTTTTCTTTTATTATTAATTAATTAATCTTATTATTTCATATTTTTTATTCATTTTTTCCTTCTAATAAACTATTTAATCATATATTTTTTCTTCAATTTTTAAAAAGTTATAATTAAATTTTTGCAATGGGTGCATCAGGCTTAGGTTGTTCTTTAGCAAAGTGCATTAATCTCATAAATTTGACACTTGATCTTAAGTAAAACAGTTTATTTGTTTTGGATTGTGATATTTTTAACTATAAAAACTAATTTAATACAATAAAGCTAATTTTTCTTTTTATTATGCTTGCTTTTTTCTTTTCCTTCTTTGTTAATTTAACTGATCATTTAATTTTCAACTTTTGCTTTTATTATTAATTAATCTTATTATTTCATATTTTTTCTTCATTTTTTCCTTCTAATTAACTATTTAATCATATATTTTTTATTCAATATTTAAAAAGTGGCAATAAAATTAGTGCAATGGGTGCATCAGGCTTAGGTTGTTCTTTAGCAAATTGCATTAATCTCTAAAATTTGTCACTTTCGCTTGGGTAAAAACAGTTGATTTATTGTGATATTTTTAATTATAAAAACCAATTTAAAACAATAAAGCTCTTTTTTCTTTTTTCTTTTTATTGTGCTTGCTTTTTTTTTGTTCTTTCATTGTTAATTTAACTTATCATTTTATTTTCAACTTTTGCTTTTATTATTAATTAATTAATCTTATTACTTCATATTTTTTCTTCATTTTTTCCTTCTAATAAACTATTTAATCATATATTTTTTCTTCAATATTTAAAAAGTTTGAATAAAATTGGTGCAATGGGTGCATCAGGCTTAGGTTCTGCTTTAGCAAATTGTAATAATCTCTCAAATTTGACACTTAATCTTTAGTAAAAACAGTTTATTTGTTTTGGATTGTGATATTTTTAATTATAAAAACTAATTTAAAACAATAATAAAGCTCTTTTTTCTTTTTTCTTTTTATTGTGCTTGCTTTTTATTGCTCTTTCTTTGTTAATTTAACTCACCATTTTATTTTCAACTTTTGCTTTTATTATTAATTAAACTTATTATTTCATATTTTTTCTTCATTTTTTCCTTCTAATTAACTATTTAATCAATATATATATTTTTTATTCAATATTTAAAAAGTGGCAATTAAATTGGTGACGAAGGTGCATCAGGCTTAGGTTTTGGTTTAGCAAAATGCATTAATCTCTAAAATTTGACACTTAATCTTTAGTAAAAACAGTTTATTTGTTTTGGATTGTGATATTTTTAATTATAAAAACTAATTTAAAACAATAAAGCTCTTTTTTCTTTTTATTGTGCTTGCTTTTTTTTTGTTCTTTCTTTGTTAATTTAACTCACCATTTTATTTTCAACTTATGCTTTTATTATTAATTAATTAAACTTATTATTTCATATTTTTTCTTCATTTTTTCCTTCTAATTAACTATTTAATCATATATTTTTTATTCAATATTTAAAAAGTCGCAATGAAATTGGTGACGAAGGTGCATCAGGCTTATGTTGTTCTTTAGCAAAGTGCATTAATCTCTAAAATTTGACACTTGATCTTAAGTAAAACAGTTTATTTGTTTTGGATTGTGATATTTTTAATTATAAAAACTAATTTAAAACAATAAAGCTCTTTTTTCTTTTTCTGTTTATTGTGCTTGCTTATTTTTGTTCTTTCTTTGTTAATTTAACTTGTTATTTTATTTTCAACTTTTGCTTTTATTATTAACTAATTAATTTTATTATTTCATATTTTTTCTTCATTTTTTCCTTCTAATTAACTATTTAATCATATATTATTTCTTCAATATTTAAAAAGTTTGAATAAAATTGGTGCAATGGGTGCATCAGGCTTAGGTTCTGCTTTAGCAAAGTGCATTAATCTATCAAATTTGAAAATTAGCCTTCCGTAAAAACAGTTTATTTGTTTTAGATTTTGATATTTTTAATTATAAAAACTAATTTAATACAATAATAAAGCTCATTTTTCTTTTTCTTTTTATTGTGCTTGCTTTTTTTGTTCTTTCTTTTTTAATTTAACTCATCATTTTATTTTCAACTTTTGCTTTTATTATTAATTAATCTTATTATTTCATATTTTTTCTTCATTTTTTCATATTTTAAACTATAAAAATGAATATAATTTGATAGTTTTTATTTGATTTATTTTTTTATCTTTACTTATTTTATTTTATTTATTAACTTAAGAAATAATTTTTAATTTAAAAGTTTATTCTATTTGATATTTATTTAAAATTTACACAAATTTATTTTAAAATTTTTAGATAAATGTATGAATCATAAGAATTCAAAGTAATAAGCAAGTGTCTTAAATCAAAAAGATTAGTTGTCTTTGATATTTTATTCTAATGATAAACAACTGGTGAAAAAAAGATGAATAAATATTAAATGTTTGAATAATATTATATATTTTATTATATAATATTTTGAAAAAGTTTTTTTTAACCTAAAATAAAAATAGATAGATAGATTTTATTATTGTTTTTAACGAAAATCACCAAAAATTTGAAAAAATATTGAATATTGTATTTGAACACTTTTTATACTATATATTTATATATTATATTTAATTTATGAATTTTATTGAATAGTACCTTTACATTCTTTTTCATAAATACTTTAATTTATTTTTTAAATTTTAAATTAAGCATAATCCAGGTATTAAAATATAATGCTATCCAGTTCATCATATTTAAATACCTTGATTAGCAATACATACAATAATCTAATTTTAGAGACTTGATAGCTAAATAATACAATAGATTTATTAATTAACTCTCTAACAATAAAATTGTTTTTTATACGATTTTTCATAAATTATGACATCTATTTAAATATTTTGATGAGAAATATAAATTAATAAAAATGTAATTCATTCACTAATTTTAATTTATTGTTAATTAAATCTAGTTTATTATTTATTTATTTTTTGAGGTAGTATAACAAGCATAATTAAATAAAAAATTAACCAAAAGAAATAGCAAATTAAATTACTGATCTTATTTTATTCATAATTCAGAAAGGAGATTAATTAAAAAGTAGGAATAAAGTTGATTAACAAATATATATGAAATATTTAGTTGTTAGGTTAATATTAACAGTATCTTTGCCTATAATAATTGGAGTTGGAGTTGTTTTAACTATATTTTATAAACTTTTGTGGTAGGCTCTTGATTAATGGTATATTAATAGCTTAATTCTAATAATAAAACACATTTTTAAGTTAATTTTGATAAAACAATAATTATCTATTTATTTACCACTATTTCAACATGAGCATAAGCTTTTTTAAATTTTTAAAACTGTAAAGGTAGGAAGATAGTGGCATATGGATCAATTAAACATAGTAACAAATTCTATACAATTCTATATATTCGCAATAGATTTTGCTAGAGTATAGCTTTAACTAAGTATTATATTATATTTTATCATTGCTATTATTATTATTATTATTTTTATATTGATCATGATTAATTGAATTATTACTGTTATAAAACTTATTTTTACGCCATAAACAGTTAGAATTACATATGGTAGCGATGAAAGGATTATTAAAAAAATATGAATCAGGTTAAATGATTTGTAAAATTTATTATAAATTAGCAAATATATTTGAATTTTACTATTTTTAAAAAGATAAAAGTTAGTCTAGCTATACATATTGCTCTTATAGAGAGTTTATGTTTAATGAATGCCCTAAAAATGTTTATAGCTAAATAAATGAGAGTATATTCTATGTATAACTATATTTTGTGAGATCTGTATTTAAATTTGAACTTCTAACTCCTGAATAATAATATTTTATTAAAATGGTACTTTTGTTTCATAAAAATATTAGTGAACATTATTTTACAATGAAATTATATAGAATGAAGACCTTTCTTTTTATAGTGGAGCAGCATTTTTGGCATCTTAATCAGATGGTTTAATTTAAATTAGCAATATTTATAATTCAGATACAACTTCTCTATAGGTAGTATCTCCATCTGTGTAATCAATAATGAGCATTAAAAATAGTTTAAAAAATAATAATTTTTTATTTAATTATTAGATTGTATAATTACACATAAGCTAGTTATCAAACATGTAATGGAGATTAATTTATTGAACCATACGATGCAAGATGTAGATTTTGGTTCTAATATGCAGAATAATACCCAGGTAAAATTTAATTCCTTGAAAATCTTCTTACTTAATGCTTTAATTTTATAATTATTTTTTAAATATAAGGTATTTTCATTTATTAGCCTTATAATGATGCACTAACTGGAACCTTAGAGCTAAGCCTTTCTTCTTAAGTTTTAAAAGATTCTAAATTTTACTCAGTCCATACAATTAATTTTGTTATGTAAAATTTAGTGTAGATATTTAATGGTTACTTAAGTTAAAATTCGTATTCAGTACTATTTCATGAATTTAATACAACAGTAATATTTTAATCAGAATTTTATTAAATGCCTAACTAAATCTTAATAATAAATATTAGGTTTTATATCACCCATTACTTGTTTTCTACTAAAAAATGACATGGGTTGATGTTGAGTTTCTTAATATAAATTAATTTTGTAGTGATTAATAAGAAATTCTTAATCTTTGCTAGAGTTAAAAAGAATAGCTCTCAAGTTAAGTAAACAAAACAGTTTCATTCATAAAAACAGGAAATTATTCAATAGAAAAATAATATAATTTAGACCAACTTTATTAGTACTGGGATAGATTTGGATAAAAATAGTAAAAATTTTCTATTTTTTTAAATTTTATTGATTTTAAAAGGCTAAAACTATCTTTAAAAAAAGGTTCGTTTATCCCACCTTAAATAATATTTGGTTCCATAAATGAACTTTAAAATTAAGGATCTAAATAAAGACTTTTATCTATATAGATTTGATTTAATTTTTTTTATTAAATTGTATTAATTTGATTATGGAATGAGAAAATTAAATTAGAATTTAATTATTAAAATTTAATTCATAAAATGACAATATATATATCTTATTATTTTTAAAAGAATAAGCATTATTTTTCCCATATAGAGTAAGCTCAGAGGACTTAATAACTAATATCCATACTCATTTGCAATCATAATGATAGCTAGAGTAATGACTGATAATAGCGATTAATTGAAATTATTTAATCTTTTAAACACGAGTATAATAAAAATATATTTGTTAATAGAATTTGCTTTGATTAGCTCTTTGATTATTATTTTTATTACAAATTATGGATTTTTTTTGGTTTATCAGATTTCTCAACCAATTGAATTATTGACTCTGTTTTTAAGAAAGAGTTATTAATAGCAGCAAATGTGTAAAATAAAAGTGAAAAAATATAAATAGAAATCATAGTAGTCATTAAAAAAAAAAAAGCTTAAAAAAACTCTGAAATCTAAAAATATAAATAGCATATTTAAGAAAAATAACAACAAATAAAATCTATTTTAATTATTTATATAAAATGAATACAATGATAATATATAAAACCAAAAATATATCGACCAAAGCAATATTCAATTGGTCAGAGAAGAGAATTCCCCTGAGTAATCATAAAATTATAATTTTTAAAATCAATAGAGCAAATTATTTTAAAATTCTATTGATCAAACAAAAAGCTAAGCTAATATTTTATAAGTAAAATAAAGTAATAGTAAATAAGACTTTCAAATTTAAAAAGATTCATCTTAAATTTCATCAAAAAAGATTCCTTAAAGCAGTGAAAAAATTTATGATAGTTGCTAACAATCAGATTAAAATTAAAAAAATAATGAATCTTTTGAATAAAGTTACTCAATTAATAAGAATAATTGCTCAATAACCACTAGTAATTTTAAAGATAAAAGTTTAAGGACTAATAATTCTGAAGAAGATGAACTTTATAAAAAAAAATAAGAAGATAAAAATACTTTTTTAAAGGAGCTGAAACCACTATTTTTAGAAATGAAGATTATTAAAAACGTTTTTCGGGATCTTGAAAGTCTTATTAACTATTCTATAGATGCTTAGAATCAAAATTCCTAAAATTATACTAAAACTCTCTTTCATTTTAGTATGGCAAAATCTACATTTTAATAACTTAAAAATTAAATAGGATTGGGCAGATGCTATTACAATTTAGGTGTTGTATCTCTTTTAAATTGTGATTATAATTTAGCTGAAGAATATTTTGAATCTGCTATTTTCCTTAGCTTTGAGGCATTCGGAACTGATTATTAAAATTTAATCAACTAAAAAATCATTTAATAAAGTGAGAGAAATACAGAAAATTTAATTTTGATAGTATCAAAAAGAATATTTTCAAAGGCTTACTGTTTGAAATAGTAAGCTTTATAAAATTATTATTAATATGAAGATTTAAATTTTGAAAATAATAATACTAAATTCGGCATATAAAAACAAAGAGATACTTATAAAGCAAAAAATTAATACTTTTCTTGTGCAGAAATATAATTATTGAAATAATCCTTAGAAACATTTTAGATTGTTTTAAATTTTGCTTAAAATAACTAATATAGCTATTCAGAAATATTTTAAATATTCTTATATTAAGAAATGATTGAAATATTAATATTTTTAAATTTTAATAATAATAACAACTATCAAATTAATAAATATATAGAAATAGTTCGTCAAATAATTAGTAATTCAAAGTATCAAAACCCATTAATTGGCGAAGCATGGTAAAAAGCATCTGTTGATCAAAAAAAATGTTACAAGCAAAGTTTTATGAGTGAAAGTAACTTTGATATAAATTAATAAATCATTTAAATTTAAAAAAGCAGATAACTTTTCTTGTTTGCTCTTAATGAATAATTTAAAAATAACCATTTTCAGGCAATTTAGCTATTTACTTAAAGTATAGAAGAAGGGACTCACTACAATCCCATTTAAAGAAAAAAAGTTATTTATCATCTAAGCTAAATTATTAATGCTATTAGTGATATCCCATTTAAGAGAATGTTGGATTAAGATGATGAAAATTATCTTTTTAAAAAATAAAAATCTCCACTAGATTTAATAGTTCTACTTTAACTTGATTATTATAAATAGCATTCAACTGTTGAATTTTGTCTAAAGGCGATATAAGAATCTAATTTACTAAATGGCTAAGATAGAATCTAAATTTTAATTTATGATTCAAATATAGCTACTTTTATGCCATTTACTAACATCAAAAACATTAATCACTGGAATTTAATAATTGCTTCTTTAAAAGACTTAGAAAAAATGTCACTATAAGAATAAACAAAATAAAAATAACAATTATCATGGTAAGAAGCTCTTTCTTAATCTATAAATCTTATTTATGAAATCAATCACTCTGATTTAATCTCTCTAAAATAAAATTATTAACAGAGTAAAAAAAACTAGAAAAAAGATCTTAAAAATTCCAAATTTATACTTGATAATGAAAATTTATTTTAAAAAATATTATTAAATAATCCAAATAAAGTAATTTTACTTTTTTCAAAAGATTAATAAACTGATTAATCAAATAAATTCAATTAATAATTAAAGATATAACTGTAGTAATTAAAATACAATAAACCTATTGTATATCATTTAAAAGAATATCCTTTGATTCAAAGTAACATATCAAATTTCAATTCTGAGAATATCATTTACGAATAATTTTATGATGAAAACTAATTGATATCTAATTTAATCAAATTTAAAAATGAAGAAAATTTAAATGATGAATCAGAGTTTTTAGCTATTCTTAATAATTCTTGAGTATAAATAAATATTTATTATTTTAAATTTTTTGATACAGATTCAATATTCTATTTTTGTAAATAATCTCAAAAAAAAAATAAAATTTAACAATAATTTAAATTTAATGTAAAATCTATTTAAATTGTTTAAATTAGTAAATATAAATTATTAAATAAATAAATAATTTTAATTTAATATATTTATTATATGCAAATTAATTAAGACGCATGCAAGGGAATTATTTTTAAATTTATATTTTTATGTTCATAAAAAATTCCATTATTTTAAAAATATCATACTTATTAAAATATTAATTAATTATTTTTAATCCCCTATTTATTAAATATTAAACCATTGAAAATTTCATATTTTGTTCAAAAAATACAATTACTAAATAGTTGAATATTGATAGATTAGCCAAGAAGTAAAGATATACAAATTAGCCATGAATTAAAGATAGTTCATTAAATATTAAATAGTTTCTTTTACGATAATCTAAGAAAACTAAATAAAAATTTATAACCAAAAGAAGTATCAACTATTTTTGCTTATCTTTTTGATTTTTATTTTATAAAAGTACTAACTAATTAAAAAGTAGGAATAATAAATAACAAACTCTCTACCAAATAAATATGAAATATTTAGTTCTTAGGTTAATTTTAACAGTATCTTTACCTATAATAATTGGAGTTGGGCTTGTTTTAACTATATTTTATAAACTTTTGTGGGAAGCTCTAGATCAATGGTATTTATATAGCCTTGATTCTAATTAATAAAATTCTATTCTTTAAATTGATAATTATTATTACTATTTTACAAATGAATAAGATTTTTACTAATTATAAAGGTAGAATGATAGTGCTATATGGATTAATTTATCATAGCAGAGAATTTTATACAATTCTGTATATTCCTAATAGATTTTATTAGAATATAGCTTTAACTAAGTATTTATTTGTTATAATTTTTATGTTATATCAAGCTAATTAATAATATTTGTAATTTTATCTTTATGATGCTAAAAATAGCTAGAATTACATATGGTAGCAATGAAGGGATTATTAAAAAAATACTAGTCTGGTTAAATGATTTGTATAATTAATTATAAATTTGTGAAATTATTTGCCTTATTATCGTTTTATTAAAGATAGAAATTAGTCTAGCTACACATATTGCTCTTATAGAGAGTTTATGTTTAATGAATGCCCTAAAAATGTTTATAGTTAAATAAATGAGAGCCCATTCTATGTATAACTTTATTTTGTGAGGTCACTATTTAAATTTGAACTTTTAACACCTGAATAACAATATTTTATCAAAATGGTACTTTAGTTTCATAAAAATATTAATGATCTATAATTTATAATGAAATTATATAGAATGAAGACCTTTCTTTTTATAGTGGAGCAGCATTTTTGGCCTCATAATCAGATGGCATAATTTAAATTAGTAATATTTATAATTCAGATACAACTTCTCTATAGGTAGTATCTCCATCTGTGTAATCAATAAATAATGAACATTAAAAATAGTTTAAAAATTTATAATTTTTTATTTGATTATTAGATGGTATAATTACACATAAGCTAGTTATCAAACATGTAACGGAGATTAATTTATTGAACCATACGATGCAAGATGTAGATTTTGGTTTTAATATGCAAAATAATATCCAGGTTGAATTTAATTCCTTGAAAATCTTCTAACTTTATGCTATAATTTTATAATTATTTTTTAAATAAAGGTATCTTCATTTTTTAGCCTTATAATGATGCACTAACAGGAACCTTAGAGCTAAGCCTTTCTTCTTAAGTTTTAAAAGATTCTAAATTTTACTCAGTTCATACAATTAATTTTGTTATGTAAAATTTAGTGTAAATATTTAATGCTTACTTAAGTTAAAATTCGTATTCAGTACTATTTCATGAATTTAATACAACAGTAATATTTTAATCAAAATTTTATTAAATGTCTAACTAAATCTTGAAAATAATTATTAGGTTTTATATCACCCATCGCTTGTTTTCTATTAAAAAATGACATGGGTAGATGTTGAGTATCTCAATATAAATTAATTTTGTAGTGATAAATAAGAGCTACTTGAATATTGCTATAACTAAAAGGAACAGCTCTCAAATTAAATAAACAAAACAGTTCAATTTATAAAAACAGGAAATTATTCGATAGAAAACTAATTTAATTTAGAATAACTTTATCAGTATTGGGAAAGATTTGGACAGAAATAGTAATAAATCTTTCTCTTTTTTTTAAAATTTTTTGATTTTTCTGATCAAAGAAAATTCCATGTTAGCAAAATAAAAAAGACCTTAAATTTTTAGGTTAAAGGGTGGGGGGATGTTAGTATTTTTAAGAGAATGAATGGTTTTTCAAAATACCAAATATAATATTATTAAAAATCTATTATCATTTATTAAGAAATATATTTTATTTTCCCCTCCTAGTATAGTAATTAAATTGCTTTAAAAAGGCATTAATTTAATTTAAATTAAATTTGATATTTAAATTTGCTTATAAAATTTTAGTATAAGAAAAATAAATTGGATTTTTTAAAAATTAATAATTATAAATGAAATTGATACATTATTATTTTAATAAAGAATAAGCATTATTTTTCCTATTTAGTGCAAGTTTAAAGGGCTAAATAACTAATACCCATACTCACATTCAATAATAATGATAGCTCGAGTGATAACTGACGAAAGTGATAATTTGAAGCTATTTAATCTTTTAAACACTAACATAATAAGAATATATTTGATAATTGAATTTGCTCTTATAAGCTCTTTAATACTTTTTTTTATTATTAATTATGGATATTTTTTGGTTTATCAAATTTCTAATCCTATTGAATTGTTAACTTTATTTTTAAGAAAGAGCTATCAGTAGTAATAAACAAGCTAAACTAAAGTGAAAAAAAATAAAAAGAAATCATGGTAATATTTAAAAAAAAAAAAATCTTAGAAAAATCTTAAATCCTAAAATAGCACTAATAATAAAAAAAATAATAGTAGCAGCAGATAAAATTTATTTTAAATATTTATTCAAAATGAATACAGTAATCAAACATAAAACCAAAAATATATAGAATAAAGTAATATTTAATGGTTTAAAGAAGAGAATTCTCATGAATATTCTTAAAATTATAATTTTTCAAATTAACAAAACAAATTAGTTAAATATTCTATCAATCAAATCAAAAGTTAGAACACTATTTTATAATTAAAATAAACTAGTAATTCAAAATAAGACTTTTAAATGTAGAAAGATAATTCTATAAAAAAAATTCCTTAAAGCAGCGAAAAAATATATGATAGTTGTTACCAATCAGATTTAAATTAAAAAAACACTGAATCTTTTGAGCAAAGCTACTCAGTTAATAAGAACAATTGTTCATTAAACACAATTTATTTCAAACAAAAAATTTAAAGGAAAAAAAATTCTAAATTAGAAGATGAGCTTTATTACAAAAAAAAATAAGAACGCAAAAATATTTTTTTATAAGAGCTAAAGCCACTATTTTTAGAAATGAAAATTATAAAAAATGTTTTTAAAGATCTTGAAAGTCTCATTAACTATTCTATAGATGCTTAGAACCAAAACTCCTAAAATTATACTAAAAGTCTTATTCATTTTAGTATGGCAAAATCTACGTTTTAGTAACTTAAAAATTAAACTGGATTAGGTAGATGCTACTACAATTTAGGTATTGTATCTCTTTTAAACTGTGATTACAATTTAGCTGAAGAATATTTTGAATCTGCTATTTTGCTTAGCTTTGAGGCATTAGGAACTGATTATTAAAATATAATTAATTAAAAAATCATTAAATAGAGCGAAGAGAATACCGAAAATACAATTTTGATTATATCAAAAAGAATATTCTCAAAAGCTTATTGTTTGAAATAGTAAGCTTTATAAAATTATTATAAATATGAAAATTTAAATATTGAAAATAATAATAATAAATTCTGCATAAAAAAACGAAGAGATATTTTATAAGCAGTGCAATAAAACTTTTCTCGTGAATAAATTTAGTTATTAAGATAATCCTTAGAAACATTTTAGATTGTTTTAAATTTTGTTGAAAATAATTAATATAGTTATTCAGAGATATTTTAAATATTTTTATATTAAGAAATAATAGAAGTATTAATATTTTTAAATTTCAACGATAACAATAATTATAAAATTAATAAATACATAAAAGCAGTTCATTTGATTTTAAGTAACTCAAAATAATTAAATTAAACCATTGGTGAAGTATAGTAAAAAGCTTCTATTGATCAAAAAAAATGCTTTAAATAAAGCATAATGAATGAAATTAACTTAGATATAAATAAATAAATCATTTAAAATTAAAAAAGCAGATAACTTTTCTTATTTGGTCTTAATGAGTAATTTAATAATAACTATCTTCAATCAATTTAGTTATTTACTTAAAGTATAGAAGAAGGGACTCACTACAATCCCATTTTAAGAAAAAAAGCTACTTTTCATTTAAGCTAACTTTTTAATGTAGTTAGTGAGATTCCTTTTAAAGATATTTTAGATTATGATGATTAAACCTATCTTTTTAAATAATAAAAATCTTCTCTTGATTTAATAGTTCTACTTTAACTTGATTATTATAAATAACATTCAACTGTTGAATTTTGTCTAAAGACAATTTAAGAATCTAATCTATTAAATGGCTATGATAGAATCTAAATTTTAATCTATGATTCGAATGTAACTACTTTTATGCCATTTACTCACATCAAAAACAATAATCACTGGAGTTTAATAATTGGCTCTTTAAAAGCTTTAGAAAGAATAGCACTTTACGATGAAATATCATAAAAATAGCAATTGACATGGTAAGAAGCTCTTTTTTAATCTATAAATCTTATTTATGAAATCAATCAATCTGATTTAATTTCTCTCAAATAAAATTTCTAATTAGATTAAACAAATTAGAAAAATCATATTAAAAACTCCAAATTTATTCTTAATAATCAAAATATTTTTAAAAGAATATTAATAAATAATTCGAATAAAGTAATTTTACTTTTCTCAAAAGATTAACAAACAGATTAATCAAATAAATTTAATTATTAATTAAAATTATAGTAAAAGTAAATCAAATACAACAAACCTATTATATACCATTTAAAAGAGTATCCTTTGATACAAAGTAACATATCTAATTTCAATTCTTAAGACATAATTTATGAATCATTTTATGATGAAAACTAACTGATATCTAATTTAATAAAATTTAAAAATGAAGAAAATTTAAATGATGAATCAGAGTTTTTAGCTATTCTTAATAATACTTGAGTATATTTTGTATTTTAAATTTTTAAAATAAGTTGATATCTAATTATAAAATAAAACTTGATATAAATTTATTTATTAATATTTAATCTATTCAATAATTTATATAATTTAAAATTTTAAATGCTATAAAAAGGTTACTTTATCTCTAATATAATTTGATTGTAAATTAGATATAATTGAATTAAAAATATTTTAATAAATAAAAAATACTTTAGAAAATTCAATTCAAAGTATAATAAAATATTAATTATTGTTAAACCTCAAATATATTATTAAAAATTAATTCTTTGTATCAAAAACTTCTTACCAAAAAATTTCCAAATATTATTACATATATACACCATAATTGTTTTTTTGGTGGAGGGATTACATTATGTCATACTTTCATTTATTTGAACAAGAAAAAAATACATCCTATTATTTTTTTAACAGTGCTAACTAGTAATTTAAGTAAATCAATCAAATCAATAATGAACAATATTCATATTAATTTAAAGCAAAAAGTTAAGCTGCAATTAATTACTTTTAATCGTTTAGATTTTTTTAATAATTAATTAATTAATAATTAAATGAATAAAAAGTAGATATAAAAATCTTATTTGATTTATAAATATGAAATAGTTAATTCTTAGAATAATTGTTACAGTATCGTTACCAATAATACTAGGAGTTGCATTTGTTTCAATCATTTTTTACAAACTTATGTGGCAAGCTCTTGATTAATGGTAATGTTAGCACAAATACTTAAATTAACGAAGCTTTAGCTATAAATACATCTATCAAAATAGTTTATTTATAATGATTTTTCATTTTTGTAAATCATTAATAAAATACAAATTTTAAGGGAGACAGATAGCATTACATGGATGAATAAAAATTAGTAACAAATTCTCTTTAATTCTGTATATTCGTAGTAGGTTTTATTAGAGTATAGCTTCAATCAAGTAATTTTTTTATATTTCATTTAAAGTAGAACAAAATATATATTATGATAAGTTTTGATGATTTTTTTGGAATAAAAGTTGGAATTACATTCAGTAGTCATGAAAGCATTAATAAATAAATATCTATCTGGTTAAATTATATGTATATTTAAGTATTCTTCAAGTTACCTTTTCATTATTTAACATTTTAAAAAAGATAATCATAATACTACCTATTCATTTTGCTCTTTTAGAGAGTTTCTACATGATTAATGTCCAGATAATGTTTATGACTAGATTGACTAAAGTATTTTTTATGCATAACTATACTTTGTGAGAGAAGTGTTTAATTATAATCTTCTTACACCTGAATAACAATTTTTCATTAAAATGGTACTATAAAAAAATAATTTTATTTTTAAACTATTTATTATATTATATTATTATTAGACTGCAGATTTATCTTTTTACAGTGGATCTGCTTATTTAGCAGCATAAACTAATGGCTTAATCTAAATAACTGATTTTCATAATTCAGATTAAACTTCTATAAAGACAGAATCTCCTTCAGTGTAAAAATTAAATAAATATTTTTAAAATAAATAAATAAATAATTTTTAATCTTACTGTTAGCCTATATAATTACACGCTTTCTTAATACTATGATTGTCTAGGAACATAATTTATAGAGCCATATGATCCAAGATGTAGATTTTGGTATTAATATGCAAAAAATAATGAAGGTAGAAAAAATTATTAAAATAAGCTAATTAAAACAATATTATATTTATCAATAAGTAAACTAAAAGATTAAGCCATTTTAATTTTTAATATAAATAAGGTATATTTATTTATGAACCATATAATGACTCGCTATCAGGAACTTTATAGATGAATCTAGCACAAAAAATTCTTAAAGATTCAAAATTTTATTCAGTTATAAGTATAATTTTTATAATGTAAAATTTAATGCAACTTTACGGTGCATAAATTAGTAGAAATTCCTATTCAGTACTATTTCATGAATTTGATATTTCAGTATTTTTATTTTATTTTAAGTTTCATTCTAAAATAAATAATCTCTTTACTAAATAATAGGTTTTTTATCATCCTTTACATATTTTCAATGTGCCTATGACTTGGGTAGACGTAGAATTTTTTAACATAAAATAATTTTGCAACGATAGTTAAGAAACTATGACATTTTGCTTATCCTAAAAGCAGTTACTATTGAATTAAATTAATTAAACTATTGCATTTATTAAAACTGGTGAATACTCTATTGAAAATAAAGTTAATTTGGATTAGCTTTTCTAACGGTGGGAGAGATTTGGATAAAAAGAGTAAAAATAAATAGAAAATTTATTCCTTAAATATTAAAAAATATTATTTTTTTTTAAATTAATTTTTAGTTTTTCCTTCCTTTCTTTTTATTTTATTTTAGAATTTGAAAATTAAAAAAAATTAAACTAAAATTATTTAATAACATATTAAATTAATAGAATAAGTGTGATTTTTCCAATATAAAGCAAGCTTAAAGGATATAATAACCAAAAGCCATACTCTTTTGCAATTTTATTGATTGCAAAAGTTATAACAGATCAGACTGATTAATTGAAATTATTTAACCTTTTAGATGCAAAAGTTTTTAGAGTTTATTTGATAGTTGGTTTTATTATTCTGAGTATAATCATACTACTATTTATAATTAATTATGGAGTTTTTTTGGTGTATTAAATTTAAAAGCCTATCAAGCTCCTAATTTTATTTTTAAAGAAGAGCTATTAAGAATAATTAACACATCAGAAATTAAGTAAAATAAATAAAACAGAATCAAAAATAGAATAGAATAAATAAAAGAAAATCTAATAAAATAAAAAGAGTAGCATATTTTAAAAAATTAATAACAAAAAAACTTTAAATTAAAAGCCTTTATTAAACAATAATAATAATAATAATAATTTAATATTTACTTATAAAAATATAAATTATATTTAAGATTAATTTTACAAGTAGGATAATCCACCTTTGCTACTTTAAAATTAACCATCTTTTAATTTTTAAACGAAAGAATTATCATTTCAATAATTTAAAGGATTTGATAAATGTGATGATACCTAAAAATCTGATATTCAATTTACTAAAAATAATTCTTAGTCCCCAAAAATTCCCACAAGTTTTGAAATAACATGTCTCAATATTAAATAATAATAATCAAATTAGGTTTAATCTATTTCCTTTGGATAAAATCATCTTAACAAAGAAAATTTACAAGTCATCAGCACGCCTAAAATAACAACAGAAAAAAGCACTTTTTCTATCCAAAATGATGAGTTTATTAAATTAAAAGAAGAAAATAAAAATCAAATTCTGTAAGGTTTAACGCCTTTGTTTTTGGAAATGAAAATTATTAAATAAACTTTTCAAGATCTTGAAAGTCTTATCAACTATTCGATAGATGCTTAAAACTATAATTCAGAGGATTTTACAAAATCTCTTTTTCATTTTAGTAAGGCAAAGTCTACATTTTAGTAATTAAAAAACTAAATTGGATTGTGTAGATGCTATTATAACTTAGGTCTTGCATCTCTTCTAAATAATAATTACTAATTAGGATAAGAATATTTTGAATCTGCAATTTAGCTGAGCTTTGAGACAATCGGGATCAATTATTAAGATCTTACAAACTTTAAAATTTTCAATAAATCTTAAAATAATTATGTAAAACAACTTTAAATATTAACAAAGAAAATATTTTCAAAAGCATACTGCCTGAAATAGTAAGCTTTGTCATTTTACTACAATGATTAAAATGAAAATTTTGTATCATTTAGTTTGCTTAATAGAAATTTTTTTAAACATAATCATGACATATAAAGAATATAGTAAAGAAACAGCTCTAATGTAATAGTTTAATTAATAAATTAATCTTTAAACACATTTGGAATCGTTTTGAGATTTGTTGAAAATAATTAATCGAGTTTTTCAGATATCTGCAAAATACATTTGTACTAAGAAATGATTGAGATATACATATTTTTAAGATAAAATAATAATAAAATTTTTTACAAGTTAATTGAAAAAGTAAATCAAATAATGAATAATTAAAAATATTAAGATAATATAATGAGCGAACCAAGCTATATTTCATATGTAAATACTTATAAATAAATTATTGAAATCCAAAAAAGTAGATAGCTATTTTTGTTAGGGCTAATTGAATAAAGTAAAAATAATAATATTGAAGCATTTGAGTTATTTACTTAAAGCATAGAGGAAGGTAGTCATTATAGTCCTAATTTAAGAAAAAAGCTCAAATATCACTTGAGATAAATTATTAATGATATAAATGACATACCTTTCAAAAATATGGTATTTGAAGCACAAAAATCGTTTTTTTAAAATAAAAAAACACCAATAGATTTAACTATTGTTACTTAATTGGATTACTGCAAAGAGAACTATACAATTGAAAGCATTCTTTAAAATATTTAAAAAACCAACTTATTTGAAGAATAAGATAGGATTTAGATCCTAATTTATCATTCAGAAATTGACATTTTTATATCATATACAGTGATCTAATGCAGCTAGGATTGGAATGTCATTATAGATTCTTTAAAAGATATTGAAAGAATAATCATTAATGATAAAATGAAGACCTAGCTTAGTTGGTAAGAAGCCCTATTTTAATCATTATAATTTATAAATGATTTAAGACCAGATGATTTAGTATCTTTGAAATAATATTTTGACTAAAATCAAAGAGCAATTTAAAATAATATTAATGAAAGGAGTCACCAAAATTTTTTAACAAATGAAATTAAAAAAGTAATTTTACTTTTTTCAAATAAATAAGAAAATGATCATGCTAAACTAAGTCAGGATTAAAAAAACTTTTAAAAAATAATAAATAATTAAAAACCAATAGTTTATCACTTGAAGGAATCGACAAGCTAAAATAATAAAAAAGAATTTAACTCTCCTTTCATTTCATATGAGCCTTTGGAAAATGAGAATTAAATAGTTAGTAAATTAATACAGTTGAGGAAAGAAGATCATCTAAATGAAGGATAAGAATTTATATCCATTCTTTATAATTTTTGAGCAGTTTTTTATAAGAAAAGAAAGAATTTTATATTTAAATTCAGTTTAATAATTTATTAATTTTGATTTCAAAAATTGTAAACTTTTACTTTTTAATAAATTTATTTTATCAAGAAAACATAAAAATAAGAAATAATATTAATATTAAAAATAAAATTTATTTAAAGGATTATTTTAATTGGTAAATTAATTTCAAAAAAAATTATTTATTTATTTTTAGTTATCACAATATAAAATATGATTAACAAATTAGTCTTTCATTAGTAATTGGTTATTTAATTAAATTTTAAAATTTATTGCTTCTTTTTATTAAAAATTTAATCAGATATAAAACAAAATGTTTAGTCTTAACTTATTTAATTGCCTTAATAAAATATTATTTTACATTAATATAAAAAAAATATTTTCTTTTACATAATTTAATCAGTGATAAATTTTACTACCAAAAAATTAATAAATTAAATGTATAAAAAATTTGAATTAAATTTCATTTACTACTCTAATTTTTTTACTATTATTTCAGTAAATTTTAAAATAAAAAAAGTAGAAGTAAAAAAATTATTAATTTATATCAATGAAATTAGTAATTTTCAGGTTAATTTTAACTGTTTCGCTACCTATTATCTTAGGAGTTGGGATTGTATTCAACATATTTTATTTACTCTTATGGAAAGCCCTAAATCAATGGTAAAAACATAATAAAATTAAAATTTATATCACCCTTAGAGCTAGCTTTCAAAATTATCATCCATTAAATTAATTAAAAATGAATATTAAATGTAATAAATACAAAAAAAAATAGGGAATTAGATAGTATTAATTGGGCTTAATAAACATAAAAGTAGCTACTATATAATTCTATATATTCGTAGTAAATCCTGTTAGAGTATAGTTTTAACTAAGTAATTTTTAGTTCTTAAATTATTTTTATTCAGAATATGCATGACTAAATTTTTGATCCTACTTTTATTAATAAAAGCTGGAACTTCACATGGTTGTTATTAAAGGTATGTTAAATCGCTACTAGTCTGGCTAAATGATATGTGAAATTTTTAAAATAAATTTAAGCTTTTCATAATCTAAAATATATAAAAATAGATAATCATCAAACAACATACTTATTATGCTCCTATAGAGAGTACATGCTAAACTAATGTCCAAAAATAGTATATGATTAAATTAATAGAAGTATTTTCTATGCTCAGCTTTATTATGTGAGATCTATATTTAAATATGATCTTCTTCCACCTGAATAGCAATATTTCATCAAAATGGTATTTAAAAATGAATTAAAATAAACAAAACTTTTAAAAATTAAACATTTTTAACCAAATTTGTATTAGAACTAAGACTTATCTTTTTATAGTAGAGCAGCTTTTTTAGCAGCATAAAAAAGTGGTATTATTTAAATAAGTAGTATTCACGATGCAGATACAACTGCAGCTTATACAGTCAATCCATCTGTGTAAAACAACATTAAAAACCAATAATTTGATTTAGAATTATTTATTTATTTAATGAAAAGATTGTATAATTATACATCATCTACCTATTATACTTGTGAAGGAACATAATATATAGAGCCATATGATCCAAGATGCAGATAATGGTATTAATATGCATAATAAAATGAAGGTAAAATTATATTTTTATTTTAAAAACAAAGCACATTCAACTTATCTAAGCTGTACATACATAATATGTGCCCAGTTTGTTTTTAGATAGATTTTATTATAAAAAATTTAAATTTGTGATAATTTATTTATTTATTTTTTCCCATTTTTAACGAGATCTTAGTTAATTTATAAGGGTATTTAGTTTAACAATTTGTTTTCTTGTATTAAAAATAAAAAAATTAAGTTAACTTATTTAATTAATTAATTAATAAATTAATAATTTATATTAAAATCTTATTCTCATAATAGGTATGTTTATCTATTAGCCTTATAATGATGCATTAACAGGAGCATTATAAACGAGTTTATCTACGTAAATTTTAAAAGATTCATAGTTTTATTCTGTAAGTACTATCATTTTGAAAATGCAAAATATAGTAAACATATTTAACTCTTATTTAAGTGAAAATTCTTATACAGTATTATTTCATGAATTCAATGCAACAGTAATTGTTTTTTAGTTAAATATTAATTGAATATATAATTTATATTTCATAAATCATTAAATATTTAGGTATTTTATCATCCGTTGCTTATATATTATTAAATAACAACATGGGCAGACGTAGAATTTTTAAATATTAATTAATTATGCAATAATTCTAATGAAGAGATGGATATATGCATATCTTAAAAATAGTAATTTATGATTAAATTAAACTAGACTATATAATTCATTAAAACTGGAAACTATTAGATTGAAAGTAAAACAAATTTGGATTAGCTTTACTCAAGTTGGGAAAGATTTGGATAAAAATAGTAAAATTATTTAAATTTTATTATTGATTGGTTCTTTATTTTCATATTTAAATTATATACTATAATAATAATAATAATAAATTAATAAATATTTTTAAATTATATACTATAATAATAATAATA